CCCCCTCTCCTCTGTCATAGGAAGATTAAATGGCTTGCTGTCCCGGCCGCTGACAGCTCCTGGTGGGAAAATATCTTTATTCCCATATTCATGCAGGAGGACAAAGAAGAACAGGAAGAAAAGAGTGATCCGGTCCGGATCAGTCCCATTTCTGCTGCTGCAGCTGTTTTTTTTTTTTTTCTCATCCCCAACCGGGCCAAAATAAAAAAAGAAATGAAAAGCTTTGCTCTTTCTCCTCTGAAAGAAGTCTGTAATAATAAGTATGCCCTTACATGAAGTGGAAACATTATAAACAGCAAAAAAAAAAAGTGTGAAGAAAATACTTTAATAAAATAACTTGACTTTTTTTGTGATTCAGGCTTATCCACTATATTTTCTCCCTCTTTCCTTAAAAGACAGGGAGAAAAAAAGAATCATTTGTATTCAGTGTTGTTTCTTTGTCAGCAGCAGTATCTTCCTCCCACACGCTGCTGCTGCTGAGTGGATGTTGTCCCTCGGCGGACCGACCTGCTCAGGAGGAGCGCAATGCAGCACCGGGCTGCCTGCTACTGAACACTACCTGTGTTTCCTGTTAAGTCCCCCCCATCCTCATCCTATGCATATCTCATTTACAACAGGGCCATGCAGTGGAAACTGCCAACCAAGCTGCCCTCCACCATGGAAGTGAACCTCCCCCCACCCCACCCTCTAACATAATGGCATTGATGGCGGGGAAGAGGCTCTTGTGTGCTCCCAAGTCATCAGTGAGCAGTTTATGGCTGAAGGAGAGTAAACAAAGACTGAAACTGCTGCAGGAGGCCACACATTGTGCGTGTGAGCGTTCCATCGCTCCTTCTGTTTTGCCATCCCCTAGTTGTTCAGAGCAGCTGAGGAAGAAGAGTGTGTTTTTAAGTGTTTCTGTGCTACTTAACATTTCAGAGGCAGCCCTTACACACGCCTCCCCAGCTACCAGCGCAGTGTTGTTATATCCCTCGAAATCTATACTCCACTTGAAGAGGGTCAAACCATGTTTCCTGAATTTTGATCCATCTCTTTTTTTTCCTCGTTTCTGTATGTGTGTTTGCATTGTAAAGAAAAAATGTTTGGCTACTGTCAAAACTGCACTGGATTGATGGAACAACTACCGCCCACCACCTTTCGCACTTAAGCACAGTATCTATAAAAATCTACTGAATTACAGACATCCACAGTGTCTGAGTTGGCTGTGGTGTCGTTTTGACTTTATATGGCTCTAAAAGCACTTGAGTTGCAGATGTACATTCAATGATAATTTCCTGAAACCTTTTATCATAATTTGTCCAGTGGTTTTTAAGATATTCTGACAGGGAGTTGACTGAAAACAATAGCATCCTTTTAAACAAGCATCTTTGGAAATTGTTACTGTTTAGAATATGTGTTGGGGGCGGTCTCAACTACTACCACAACAACTATTAGATCAATTTTGTCTGAGTCATAGTCATTTTTGTGTTTTTTTTTTAATATCTGTCTTGGCAGCCATCTTGGCCACCTGCATTTGTTTTTGCTCGCCTTTTGCCTTTTGGCAACAGGGGATAACAAACACAGGTGGCAAAGTGAATCAGGCTGACCGCTGAATCAACACAATTGTTGCATTCTGACATTTTGGCAAACCACCCCAGGTTGAGTAGGCTAAATGATGTGAGAGTCAGTCAGGATTTAGCTGTTCGGATTAGGAACAACTTGGGCACAGAGTTAGCACATTCGGCATCACCTACATACCCACATTGAGTTGTAGGCAGTAAATTCAATTTCTACACTTAGTCATCGTGATCAATTCTGGCAGCACAAATCTTTTTTTCTTTGTTATTCTTTCTTCTTGTACCAGTTTTCCTTTCTGTGTGTGTGTGTGTGTGTGTGTGATCCGCTATACTAAGAGGCTTTAAGAGGGAAC